GACCCGGCCCGACATATAATGGGCGGGGTCTAATCCGGGCAATGATATACCCGGGCCATGGGTCGATCTGGGTTTCGCTGTAAACCAACGAAGAAATAAGTAGGCATGGCCCAGTCAAGCCTAGCTCCATCCGTCTTAGGTGTTACTTACATTTTGATACAAATATTTTATCCATACTTGCACGGTGCGTCTTACATGTAGAATAAATAATAAAGAGCGGGCAGAAAAAAAATCTGAAGTCTCATTATTAGCTTGGAATAGTAGAAGTTTGGTCTCTAAAGGTTTCTTTTTTAGTTCATATGCATTTGCTTCTAAAAATTGAACAATTTTTTAAAAAAAACCGCTGCTTCTCTCTTCTATTTTTTATATATATACTATATATTTTTATGAATATGAGCGTACAAATAGTTTATACTAATGATCTATAGCATATGGAAAATTGAAAATTAGCTAATCGGAATTAAAGCTTTTTCTTTAAATAGTTTGAAAATCATCCAAGTGAGGGCAATCCAAAAAAATGGATGAGTGGTGGACATGCCATCTTTCCCAGTATTGTTGAAAGTGTAAAAAGATAATTTTACCAAAGAGACTTTGTCCTTTTATTATTTCTAGAATATTCTATCCATATTTTATCATAAACATAGATAAAGTCTATACAATTTGGATATTCATTTTGTTCTCTTTGTTGTTTCTAGAAGGAGAATTTTTTTAAAAAGACCATTTTTTCAAAAATAATTAGCAAAATTGACTTCTTTTCTAAAAAGATGTTGACTTTGCAATAATTCATCTTTGAAATACACGAGACTAGTATTCATATGTATTTAGTTCTCACTAATTAAACCTTAAGCATTTCAGCATAAAGTACACGAGACGATCATTTCAAATTAACCGTAATTAGTTTCCACTAATTACATGAGACTACTAGTCCCGTGTATTTTGAAGTTAGTATTTTGTAAAATCAACCTAGGTCGATTTTGCTAATATTTTGTAAAAAGATCGGTTTTGCTTTTTCAAAAATAGTCTTTTTTAAAAAAAACTCTCCTTTATGGAACATTTCAGTCAATATTATTCCATAAACATAGACAAAGTCTACATTTTTTATAAACAAAAGTCCATATAATTATATAAAGTTTAATTAATCAAATCAATGTACAAATAGAAATAATGAATCAGAACTAAAATTTAAAAAGTATTGTGGCCATTGAAAGTACCCTAATGCCGCTAGGAAGGAACCCTAGAGGGGGGTGAATAGGGTTTATGCTAATCTAATCCGATTTATGCCAATTAAAAACTAATTGACAAATATCCTAGCAAGTATGATATATGACAAGATATATATGCAAGGATATACAACTAATACAAGGGTGAAACAAACAAAATAAGATAGTGGGTAAAATAAACAATGAGCAATTTGACAAAGGCAATATGAATATGAAAATAAGTGCGCCAATGCAATCACAAACAAATCATATGTTCACGAGGTTCGGTCCGCCTGACCTACGTCCCCGCTCCTCACCTCGAGGAGATCTCCACTATCACACTGGGTTTTCTACGCTTACCCGAAAAACGTTTACACCTCACAATACGGTTTTCTAGTTAACCGAAAACTTTACAATCCACACAACCTCTCTCTAGGCATTATCACCTACCCCACTCCTCTTGGGACGACCTCGTCTCTCACCACACACTCCTCTTGGTGTACTAGTGCAATACAAAGTGTTCCTCACAATTAGGCTCACAATACAACAAAATTGTTCTCTACAATAGATGAGAACTCAATGTAGGGTCACTCTCTAAGTCACACAATCCCACAACCCAAATTATATAATGTATGAAAATACAATAAGCTCAATGGTTGTGTGTGTAAACAAAGAGTATCAATAAAACAATTAAACTAAACTCAATATAAATTTAGCTTATGGAAATTATAATCAAAATAATAAATTGCTAGATGAGTTTAGAAACACTTCTCCAAAGATAACAAGAGTGAGAGAGAGATGATTTGAAGCCCAAACACCAAAGGATGATCTCTTCTTCCTCTTGTGAAATTTGCTTCACAAAACCGAAACTTTGAAACAAGGCTTTAAACACCTTTAAACAAACTTAACCCTTGATTAAAACTTGTAAACCTCTTAAAACTTTTCTCTTGTTGTTCTTGTTAGATGGGAGAGGTAAATGCAATGGGGTATTTATAACAACCCAAGACATCAGCCAAAACCCCAAGGAAATGACCAAAAACCCACACAAAAACAGATCTGAAAAATAGCCGTTACTGTTCAACGGTCATATTTATAAGTCGACTTATTTATAAGTCGACTTGCATTCGACTTGGTATAAGTCGACTTGCATTCGACTTGCTATAAGTCGACTTGTGTTCATGGATAAGTCGACTCAGCAGAGAAAAAATGCACTTTCCAGAGGAGTTCATAAGTCGACTTGTCAGGGTTTTTAAGTCGACTTATAAACGTGCACATGCACTGTACATGTTGAAAAAATGATTTTTAAAGTGCCTTTAAAAATAACAAAAAAATTCCAAAAATTATAAAACTTTGGGAAATGTTTATAAACATGATAATAAACATGTTACAAAAAGAATTTTTGGAATTGCATTCCCTAATAGTGAAAACTCATCATTTTTCAAATATGTCCAAAACCATAAAAACGAAACATACATGTTTTGACATAAACCAAGTTTTGAAACTTTGTAAACTGATTTTATAGACTTAATAAAGTATGTATAAACTGATATTGAAGTCTATAAACTAATAAAACAATATCTTATCAAAAATACTTATATTTTGATAAAATCAACAAATACGTGTGTGTGATTAATATGAGCTTAAAGTATTAACACACAAGTATAAAACCTAAACTAAATATACCCAAGTTTGTGATCTTCAACGAAGCTCTATCTTGGTACACTTACGGATGAAGCTTGACTTGGATCTTTAACATGAATTGCAAGGCTTCAACCACTACTCCGCCAACCTCCATTGGATATGATCGTGAATGCGCAATTCCATCCATCCTCCAACTCATTGTTTGTCTAGAATACCTAATAAAAAACATAAACACTAGACAAACAATATTAGGAATTGTTTGTAATCATCAAAACAAGATTACAAAATGTAGGCTCATAACATGAGACCTAACAGCCATATGCTATGACTCAAATGGTAAATGATTCGAGGTGGATCATAGATAGTAATGAATTCATATCTCTGTAGTAATCATCTCAAAAAAAAAAAAAATTTCAATCGCGTCTGTTAAATATGACTGCACTCCTTTTATTGAATTAATTTCCATGAACAAACGTATTAAATTTTAGGCAATAATTTTATTTGAGCTACTTACAAACAATGTCATTATCAATATTGAATTTAATTTCCTTTGAGCTACACACAAAAAATGTCATTAATAATAATAAATTTAATTTTGATACGTTTTAGTTTTTTTTGCACGTGCACTATGCCCACATGCGTGTGATCTAATTAAAACAAATTCAAAATAATGGGATGGATGACTTTTGTTTCAAAATTTAAAATTCATACTTGTATAATTTAACTACCAACCTCTCCATTGTAATATTCTTCTTTATCTAAAATATTCTAAGATAGAAAGAGATAAAGTAAAGTTGCTGAATGAGCGCGTGAATATTTTTAGATTCAAAATTTCAAATTTAAATTAAATAGTTAATCATTAAACTCTCCTTTGTAATATATTTCATTTTTATAATATTTAAA